TTTTGTGGTTATGATAATTCTACTACCATCACCGACCCATTCATGTATTCCAGCTAAAGCATCTAATTGACTTAGGTGGTCAACATCATCAAGGACAATAAGGACTTTTTTACGGCATAGTCTTGTTTGAATCATCTTTGACCCTTCAAGAACACTGCTGAATCTCACATCTTTCAAGCAAAGGGTTTTTGAAAGAATCTCCTCTTGCAAATTTTTCAGACTTTCTGATTGTTTTCTGACATCTTCGAGAAAGATGGCACCTTCGAAATGAGTGGATATTCGGTTAAAAACAGCCCATGCTATGGTTGTTTTACCAATTCCACTCATTCCCCAAATCCTGAACCTTACCAGACCCCAAATTCAGCAATGCATTTACTTTATGAACTCGAGAATCAATACCAACTTGGTTTTTTTCTTCAACTGCAATAACTCTTCCCAATTTAGCTATAACATCTCCAACAATTTCTTGGATGCATTTAGACTCATGCCTATGCATGAAAAAAGAAAATAAAAGGTAAGAAAAGATCATGCACGAGAGATGCATAACCATATTCTCAAAATAGATAGATCTAACAAATGCTAATTTGGAAAAAAAACACTAATAAATGCTCCTACAGAGCAGATAGATAGATACTTCAATCTAATGTATGCTTCAGTGCTAAGCAACAAAAAAGAAATTGCCGGAAACATGTCAAATGCATAAGAGAAGATAGCGTTTCCAAAATTGAAATGAAAGTGAAAACTCATGGTAAAGAAACGTTGACAAAGACAACATATGTATACTGAGAGAGACCAAGGATGACAGATGATAGCGTTTGACCTGTTAAAGTATACGTTTTTGACTTACTCAAATATCGTCTTATTACTCATTACGCGCGTGCTAAGTTCTTAAAAATAATTTCATGTAGTAAAATGATATGACACTCGGACTTGTGTCACCTGGTTGCTACTTATCTTCTTTTGTGTACAATTAACTCCTAATAGGAATGCAGACATCAATGAAGTACAGAAAAAGTGTAGGCCGGAATTAGTTTTTTCTTCATTTCTGTTTCATAACCTTATACGCATCTAATTAGAAAGAAATGACATAACTCAATAATTCGATTTAAAGCATGAAATGAAGTATACTTCTTAGAATAAACTCGAGAATGAAGGCAAGGATCCTTCTAAAACTAAAATGAAAATTTGAAAAGAGCACTAGCCAAATTCTGCCAGAGTGAAAGCATGAATACATTCACATGATACATATCTAATTTTGATTATATGCAAAGCTAAAGCTTGGAACAACATGTCAGCTTAAAATGCAAGCTAAAAAAGAGATACATTTAATTTTTTTAAATTTTTTTTTAAAAAAATGATGATAAAACAATAATTTTGCTCGGTTCACGGAGAAGTTAAAACTGATGGCAATTTTATTGACACACATCCCACAGAATACAAAATGACCAGCTGCAGAAATTCAGGTGTGACAAGCAAGTACGTTCTCTGAAAATGTGCTAATGCATGTAACAAAATTTCAACCAAAAAAAAAACACTGCCTTGGCGAAATTTCAGGCGTTAGACACTTCATGATAATAGATTATACTTTTGACGAAAACGAGAAACAAGGGTGGTCACATGAAAACAGGTGACCAATTTCAAGTTGAACCCTCAAAATTGATCTAGCACCAGTTGAAAAGAAAAGATACCAAACATTTTTGTGTGGTCGTCACTATTCTTTATTACTGAATTCTCTGTATGATTTTGTCTTTTTTTTTTTAAATAACACATTGATTTGATAGAGAAATCGATGTAGTTATTTATTGTAGAAATTAAACCAAGCAAATATTAATTGGTTAGTTTAGTTAGCCGCGTGGTGTTAGTTTATTGGTTAGTAATGTTGGTTTCATTGTTAGGACATAAGGGTGGTCACATGGGATAAAATCCCATATTAGTTGTACTAATAAGTGTACATGTCCGTAGGGTACGATAGGAGAATGATAGCCTCTGTGTCATTGGGTTTTATTTTTTCGTTTTGCATGTTGTCCTCCTTGTACCGTCAGCAGCGCAGCTTTTTGAATAGTTGAGGAAATTCCTTTGCCTCTGTATCATTTTTCTTGATTCTTTCTATAGATTTATGTGTGTTTCTTTATTTGGCTTCATCATTTATCAGTTAATGGTCCAGAATCCTGTTTTCTCCCCTTCCCAAACCCCTCCAAGAAAACTGAGTGCTAGAGGAAAACAGTCAAGAAATAAATTATAAATAACCTCAGAGGTGCTTGATTGGTACTTCAGTATCAGGATTGGTGTCATGGAAGTGGTCAAGTCAACTTCAGATCTAATTTCTTTTAGCCAAGATCATTAACAATCCTCCTTAAACCGCCAAATTGATAAAGTAGTGAACGACAGAAAAAGAGCACCAAGAAAAGGATCAATGACCCATAGGAAAACAAATACCCGAGAGAGAGAGAGAGAAGCTAACAGCTTATTAGTTATTACAATTCAAAAATGATACTTAACCGAATAGCCAACTATTTGCCCAAAAAGAAGGGATGCTAGTTCATATTTTTAAAGATCAGAGTCAGTGAATTTACCCATTAGCAGTGTTGGGAACATCCCAGCCAGAGATAGAAGCAGCTTCAGTAAGAGCTGCTCTCCACTTTTGAATCCTTTCCTTGCCCTCTATTTCGTCTTCATGTTTGACAAAAGCTCGATCAAAGCTGCCTTTCTGTCTCCGTACCACAGATGTAGGTGTTGCAACCGTTCCTAGCAATTATGTACATTTTGCAAACGACGTAACTTTGTTTTTATATGGTGTGGCTTACTTTCAACAATCTCTAACTTTAGAATAAAATTTTGTGGGTTCCACACATGTTATTAAAATCGAGATACTAGATGAAATCTAGACCGTACAATTTTTTTTTGGCCAAATCTTGGCCGTGAATTGCCAGGAACCTTTCCTGCCCCTCTTTCACACAAAATGACGTGCTACAGAAATTCAGGTGTGACAAGCAAGTATAGAGTACGTTCTATGAAAACGTGCTAATGCATGTAACAAAAATTCAACCAAAAAGAAAAAAAAAGTGTTTGGATTGAGAAGATTTGAAATAAAATAATTTACTTCACAAATTTCAATTACCTTTTTATCTTTCCAATCACCTTTTTATCTCATATACATCATATCATAAAAAGTGTTATAGTAATTATTTCAAATAAATCATACAAATAAACTCCTGTCCAAACACTTACAGCTGCTTTGGGAAAATTTCAGGCGTTAGACACTTCATGTTAATAGATTATACTTTTGACAAAAACTAGCACAATCATCCACGCCTCTGGGCTGCATTACCGGTAGTTTGCATGAAAACAGGTGATCAATTTCAAGTTGGAACTAGCACCAATCGAAAAGACAAGATACCAAACATTTTTGTGGTTGTCACTATTCTTTATTGCTGAACCCTGTGTACAATTTTGTCTTTTTCTGAGACACACATTATTGGTTTCATACAAAAATCGATGTAATTATTTATCAGTTAAATTTTTTTTTCATAGACAGAAGAAACACACACATAATTAGATTAGAAACGCTCAGAGAGTCATCGTCAAATTGAGTCAGAGACTAATCTAAGGGAGACCCACAAACCAACACCATCCAGCCAGTTATTTATCAGTTAATGGTACAGAACTTTTATTTTTTTCTGCTTTCCCAACCACACTGAGAAAATTGAATACTTGGAGGAAAAATATGTGTATGTGTGTCTATATATATATATATATATATATATATATATATCCTCTGTGGTGCTTGATTTATGGATCAGTAGCAGTTTCGCAATCATGGGATTGGTCAAGTCAAACTCAGATCTAATTTCTTTTAACCAAGATCATTAACACTTCACCTAAAACCACCAAATTGAGAGAGGAGTGAACCAGGAAAAAGTTCACCAACAAAAGGATCGATGACCTTGAGGAAAAAAATACCAAACAAAAAAAAAATCTAACGCCTTATTGCAATTAAAAAATCATAACCAAATAGCCAGCTATTGGCCCAAAAAGAAGGGATGCTAGTTCAAATTTTTAAAGAAGAAAGCTAGTGACTTTACCCATTGGCAGTTTTGGGAACATCCCAGCCAGAAGTAGAAGAAGCTTCGGCAATAATGGAAATTTGGGCTCCGAACACTTCCCAAGATAGAAGAGAGTTTATTTTATAAAATATAGAAGAGAATTTACTTTATAAAACAGTTTTTGATTACAGTAGCCCTAATGCTATGCATATTTATACACCACAAATGTTTAAACTAAAAATGGAAATAAATAACATTATTATTGCAAACTTCTAAACAATGTTTAAACTATATGTTTTCTAGACACAATGATGATCTTATTGACATAATTAATACTAATGATAACTATCAAGTGGAATTCCTCAATCAGGCCGTGCAGATGGCCTTTCCACTTCCGGAAGAAAAAAGAGAGAAAGAGGGAAGAAAGGGAAGGAGAGAGATTAGAGTGAGGAAATATAGAGAGAGAATGTAATGAACAAAATCTATTATTGTCAAATGTGGGTCCTACCACTGTTTCTAACAAACCATAACAGTTCTCGCAGCTGATCATTAATCGACTTAACCATCCCAACTAAAGCTACTACTAAAACTACATCGTTTTGGCTCCAATTACATTTCGATTAGTTTAGCTCCTAATTCTTTTTTATCGAAAAGTTTAGCTCCTAATTCTTTTTTATCGAAATCGATAAATGACCCACACACACCCACCTAATTTAAGATTGGCTGTAAAGCAATTTAAAGGGGACCGACCAAGAACCTGCGACGACAGAAAGATCAGCATCGACGACGTGTATTCTGTCAAGAATACACACTACTGTGGGAAATACACGGAGAGCGAAGACGTGTGTCCGAACTGCGGGTTTCTCGATCCATAAAAATTTTGATGGAAAATCTTCAAGATCTCGTCTTCTCCTTCCGCTGGATTTGTTTCTCCCAACTCAGAGCTTTGGGGGATCATCAAAAGTTCGGAATTCTGCCTAACATCGTTCTCGTATATACAAGACTGATTCCCCATGCTTTGAAAACATCAACATAAGCAGACACTTCAATGGAAGTCCAATCATTTGGGCTGCGTACCCGATGTCCATTCATAGACCAAATAGTATCAAATGAAAGATATCTTAGCCAAGTATGTTCTGAATCAATGTTGTTTTCAGTTCCCACATAACCTATGTTGAATAAATCCCCTTGGCTATAGCCAAGTATGTTGTTTTCAGTTCCCTGTTGGCTATAGCGCTTCATCTCCTGCTCTATGAGAGTAAACTTGAAACCAAAACCTGCTCTCGTCGTTATCAAATCAGAAACACCACAAACTACGAATCCCATGAACTCATCGTTGTACCAATTTGGAGGAAGTTTAACTGTTATTGAAGGCCCTGAATTCTGGTAGGTGAACCAGGATGGAATGCTCCCTCCAGGAAGACAGATGCTAAAGTTACCACCATCTACAAGTGAAAATTCCTGCACAGCAAGAAATTAGGCCTCTCTCTCAGTAACATAACAAAAAGTTTTGGTTTGTGGAGCACATCTAAACTAGTAGTCCCTCTGTCTCAAAAAGTTTTATGTGGACGCCGAGAGTTGGTATGTATATTGTAAAAAAGAAAATACCTTCAGCATTTGATTCCAGGTTGCATATATCATGCTGGAAGTTTGTTCATCCTGAAGCAGCTTGAAACAATTACTGAATGAAACCGTGCGTAACTTCCCATGGTTTGTCAGATCAGTTGCACTCTGCAATGATGTACAATCATCTGCATACACTTCTTCTATACAAAGTGGAAGCTCTGGAAGTTTCTCAAGTCTCTTGCAGCCAACTAATTCAAGGATTCGAAGGTGACTGAGGTTCTTGATACCTGCAGCAGAGATACTAGTAAAGTTGTTCTTGCCAAGATTTAATTCTAATAGGGAGGATAAGCTCCCTAAATCGCAAGGTAATCCTTCGTCTGACAGATTGCAGTAACTAAGATCTAGTCTTGCTAGGGAATTTAATCCTGAAACAGATGGAAAAACCAAGCCAGTTGAATCTTGATTTTTTTGACCCAGCAACCAAAAGGGGAAGGATGCTTTACGTTTACGAGATGCCACTGCTTTACATCCTCCGAAAGACAATTTTTTTAGGTTTTTCAAAAGTACGATTGTGGATGGTGGATTGGAGATGGCAGTTCCATCAGCATAAAGCTCTTCTAAGCTCAGTACATGCCCTAGCTCTTCTGGTAACTTGTCAAGTTTTGAGCAGCCAGAAAGAATAAGAGCTTTAAGACTTTTCAATCTGCAAAGGCTACTTGGCAGACTTGCGAGACTTTCACAGTAGCTTAGATTCAACAAACCAAGGCTTGTAAGGTGCTCAATTGATGGTGGTAGTTCTTTTATGGCTGTAGCGTCCAAATACACCGCTTTTAAATGCTCCGTAGTACCCAAGATTTCTGGAAATTCTCCAACTTTTGAACATCCTGAGAGAATCATTACTTCGAGACTTTCCAAGACAATTTTTTTTGGAAGGCTCCTAAGATTTGTGCAATTCCTCAGATTGAATTTTTGAAGCCTTTTCAGAAACCCAGCTGACGGGTGTATCTCAGCAAGACTTGAACAACCTTCAAGGATCAATCTCTCGAGATTTGGTATCCCTGTGAAATCTGGTGTCCTTATTAGCTTCTGGGAATAGCTCAGGTTCATGTATTTCAATTTGTCTAGCGACTGTCAAAAGTTTTTTGGCAAAATGAAGAAAATGACAGAAAAAAAGGGGAAGAAAAAGACATCATATAGGTTCAAGCAAGATACATTAGGAAATGTTGAGATATGCCAGCTTTTCCTACAGATTTTATCAAATTGAGTTTGATATCAAAAATTAGTTATAAGAAAAATAAGGATATTTGTTAACAAAAGATCATGTTGGTTTGTTAACAGATATTTTAGATAAGATTTGCTAGTAGAAGGAGATTATATTTTGTTGAGATTTCTAGGATAATTATTAGTTGGATATTTTGCTAGTTTGTTTCATGTAATCACTATAAATAGTGAGTTGATGAATGTAGAAAAAAGAAGCTCATTTTCCACCTTCAACACAAGTCTCTTATAAGCCTTTTTGCAACACTAAGGTGTTGTTTCTTAGTTCATGCCCCAAAAACCAACAAAGTGGTATCAAGAGCCTATATCTTAAGGGCCTGAGTTTTGTTTTTGAGAGTGAACTTGGTGAGAAACCCTTTTCACTATAAAATTATACACTTAAGCCTTCAACATCAAAATGCCAGGAAACAACTTCTTGTCCAATCCTCCAAATTTCACTGGTGAAAACTACCAAATCTGGGCTGTCAAAATGAAGTCCTATTTGGATGCTAATGATCTTTGGGATGTAATAGAGACAGATCCTGTTCCTGAATTGTCAGAAGATCCAACTATTGCAGAGATGAGAGCCCATAGGGATGCAGTCAAAAGGAGATCAAAAGTCATGACTTGCATTCATTCAGCAGTTTCCGATGCAGTATTCACAAAAATTATGACTTGTGAAACTGCAAAAGAAGCTTGGGATACTCTCAAAGTGGCTTTTCAAGGCAATGACAGAACAAGACAGATGCAAGTTTTGAACCTTAGGAAAGAATTTGAACTCCTTAGGATGAAAGACAAAGAAAACATTAAAGAGTACTCTGACAGACTCTTAAATGTTGTGAACAAAATCAGATTGATTGGAGAACAACTTCCAGATAGCAGAGTTGTGGAGAAAGTCTTGGTGAGTTTACCAGAAAGGTTTGAAGCCAAGATTTCCTCTCTTGAAGATTCAAGGGATCTATCTCAGATGACCTTGCCAGAATTGATCAATGCTTTAGAGGCACAAGAACAAAGACGAGCCATAAGAACTGAAGAAGTCATTGAAGGTGCTTTTCAAGCAACAAATGAGGATCAAATTCGACAAGGTGAGAGAAATGATCAAAAAAAATTTAGCAAAGATGAGAAGAAAAATGGCAGAAATCCTCCGTGTTCACACTGTAAGAAAACCTCACATCTTTCAATATATTGTTGGTTTAGACCTGACGTTCAATGTAGGTTTTGTAAGCAAATGGGACATATGGAGAGAGTTTGCAAAAATAAAGGAAAAAGAGAACATCATGCTCAGATGGTTGATGAACAAGATGAGGAGCAACTTTTCGTAGCCACTTGTTTTGCAAGCAATAATTTTAGTACTGAAACTTGGCTAATAGACAGTGGATGCACTCATCACATGGCTTATGATGAATCTATATTTAGGAAACTTGATAAATCGCAAATCTCCAAAGTCAGAATTGGAAATGGAGATTATATTGAGGTGAAAGGCAAAGGTAGTGTTGCTATTGATTATGGTTCAGGTACCAAAATTATTTCTGATGTTTTGTATGTGCCTGAAATTAATCAAAATCTATTAAGTGTTGGACAGTTATTGGAGAAGAATTATTCTGTCATCTTCAAAAACAGGACTTGTGTTATACATGATCCAGTTGGGAATGAACTTTTCTCAGTGAAAATGAGAGGCAAAAATTTGCTTTGAATTTGTCAGAAATTGACAATTCTAAGGTGCAGTATTATGAACCAAAAAATTTAGATGATGCTAAAATTCAGGAGGAGATCATTGAAGGAGGCTACATTGTGAAAATTCATGAAAAGTTACCCAAGGATGATGGTAGTGACAAAGCTGATGAAAGGCCATACAAAAATTTGAATGATTGTTTTATGGCTCTCATAGCAATCTTTTTTTGTATTGCGAATTTCTTTTTCAGGTTCATCTATTGCGTACGGGAGTTTCACTTTCAAGTTGCAAAGAAATCATTTGAATACATCAGAAAATTTGATATTGGTTTTGAAGGTTGTTTCAAGAAACATTGCAAGACTGAAGACCAGATTGCAGACATTTTTATGAAAGCCTTGTCCAAAACAAGGTTCAAAGATTTGAGAAGAAAATTAAAAATCTGCAGCAAAAGTGGCAAGGAGGAGTGTTGAAATATGCCAGCTTTTCCTACAGATTTTATCAAATTGAGTTTGATATCAAAAATTAGTTATAAGAAAAATAAGGATATTTGTTAACAAAAGATCATGTTGGTTTGTTAACAGATATTTTAGATAAGATTTGCTAGTAGAAGGAGATTATATTTTGTTGAGATTTCTAGGATAATTGTTAGTTGGATATTTTGCTAGTTTGTTTCATGTAATCACTATAAATAGTGAGTTGATGAATGTAGAAAAAAGAATCTCATTTTCCACCTTCAACACAAGTCTCTTATAAGCCTTTTTGCAACACTAAGGTGTTGTTTCTTAGTTCATGCCCCAAAAACCAACAAGAAACAACAATAAATCGGAGTTCAAGATGGTACCTTTATCCCTTTCCACAGTTGTATGATGCGGCTATATTGTAGCTTCAGTCCTACGAGTTTTTCAGCTTGGAAACTCTCTGGAAGGGATTTTGAAGGGTATCCATGCCAGTTAAGCCACCGAACCTCATTTGGTATGCAATTTGGGCAACAAGAAACACAAGCATTATTGATTTTGAGTAGCCTTAGTTTCTTCATCTTTTCAAAGGCTTCATTCTTAATTACAACATCTTTTGGGGTAGACAAGTCCAGCCACATGCCCACAATATTTTCTGTCGCCTGCCAAAAAACAGGTTAAAAGGAGGCGAAGAAAAGGAGAAATTGCATAAACACATATTCGAGAAAATATAATTGAAATATTCTTCTAGGTGGACTGAAATTTAACTTAGAAGCAGAAGATTGCTAACCTTGTCTCTAGCCAAAACGTCACAAATTTCCCCTGCTACCCAGAGCCTGCTGTGCTTTCCTGGCTCATCCGGAGCCTTTTCGCGAACAATATTCCAACCCATTTCTTATAGTAAACAATGCATCAGAATCCTTCCTCCAGAAACGGTTACCAGAGATTTCTCGATGAGAACCTTTATGCCTATATCAGGATAGAAATCGAAACTATCAAGTACTCTTCTTATGTATTCTTTCTTCTTCCCTTTAAAGAAACACGCAATGTCCAAGAAAATTTCTTTTTCAACTTCTCTGAGTCCATTAAAACTTACTTTGAGCTTTTCCATAATTTCATCTTCTGGAATTCTTTTTAATCTCTCCAGTTCACTTCTCCATTCAACCATGTCTCTACCATACAGAAAGCTACCTAAAACTTTTAGAGCTAAGGGAAGCCAACCAGCATAATGCACTATTTCATTTGAAAGCTCCTCATAATCTTTTGCAGGATAGTCCTTCTTAAAAGCATGCCGACTAAACAGCTGAATAGCTTCAGATTGATTCAACAACTCCGCCTCGTAAATTCCATGTACTTCATGTGTAACAAGCAAATGCTTATCTTTTGTGGTTATGATAATTCGACTACCAGCACCGAACCAATGATGTTTTCCAGCTAAAGCTTCTAATTGATCTAGGCAGTCAACATCATCAAGAACAATGAGGACTTTTTTATAGCATAGTCTTGTCTGAATCATATTTGACCATTCAACAACACTGCTGATTCTCCAATCTTTTGAGCAAAGAATTTTTGAAAGAATCTTCCCTTGCAAAATTTCCAGACTTTTTGATTGTTCTCTAACTTCATAGAGAAAGATGGCACCTTCAAAATGAATCGATATTCGGTCAAAAACAGCCCTTGCTAAGGTTGTTTTACCAATTCCACTCATTCCCCAAATCCCTATAAAGTGAACCTCATCAGACCCCAAATTCAGCAATGCATTTACTTTATGAACTCGAGAATGGATACCAACTTGGTTTTTTTCTTCAACTGCAATAACTCTTCCCAATTTAGCTATAACATCTCCAACAATTTCTTGGATGCATTTAGACTCATGCCTACGCATGAAAAAAGAAAATAAAAGGTAAGAAAAGATCATGCACGAGAGATGCATAACCATATTCTCAAAATAGATAGATCTAACAAATGCTAATTTGGAAAAAAACACTAATAAATGCTCCTACAGAGCAGATAGATAGATACTTCAATCTAATGTATGCTTCAGTGCTAAGCAACATCATTGTTTGTCATCATGTATACGTTGTCAATATTATTTTTGATACAATACTTATGTTGGCCTCAGAATCACAAGTATTGAGGATGCTACTAGTAAAATAACAGTGCAGGGAAAGCAGAAAAATATGTTCCTTGGAAAATTGATAAATAGATGAACAGATATCAACGAGACAAAGACTACTAAGGGCGGTAAATAAAGTAACAGAACTGTAACAACTGAATTACAGAGTTTGTGTTTTGTTTGTGGTGGGGGGGCAGAGGAAAAACCATTGCCAAATGAGAAGAGGTGACAAGAAGAAAATTTAGAAAGAAAGACTAACAAAAAAGAAATTGCCGGAAACATGTCAAATGCATAAGAGAAGATAGCATGGATGAAACCTTTCCAAAATTGAAATGAAAGTGAAAACTCATGGTAAAGAAACGTTGACAAAGACAACATATGTATACTGAGAGAGACCAAGGATGACAGATGATAGCGTTTGACCTGTTAAAGTATAAGTTTTTGACTTACTCAAATATCGTCTTATTACACATTACGCGCGTGCTATGTTCTTAAAAACAATTTCATGTAGTAAAATGAGAGGGATTCGATTTTTTGACATGATATGACAATCGGACTTGAGTCACCTGGTTGCTACTTATCTTCTTTTGTGTACAATTAACTCCTAATAGGAATGCAGACATCAATGAAAGTACCGAAAATGTTTAGGTCAGAATTAGTTATTTCTTCAGTTCTGTTTCATAACCTTATACTTATCTAATTAGAAAGAAATGACATGAAGTCAATAATTAGATTTAAAGCATGAAATGATCCGCTCAAGAATGAAGGCAAGGATCCTTCTAAAACTAAAATGAAAAGTTGAAAAGAGCACCAGCCAAATTCAGCCAGAGTGAAACCATGAATACATTCACATGATACTAATTTTGATTATATGCAGAGCTAAAGCTTGGAACAACATGCCAACTTAAAATGCAAGCAAGAAAAGAGATACATTTAGATTCTAAAGAAAGTGAAAGGAAAAATGTTTTAAAAAGAACTGATGATAAACCAATAATTTACTCAGTTCATTGAGAAGTTAAAACTGATGGTAATTTTATTGACACACATCCCACAAAATTTAAAATGACGTGCTGCAGAAATTCGGGTGTGACAAGCAAGTATATGGTACGTTCTCTGAATAAGTGCTAATTCAGGCGTTAGACACTTCATGATAATAGATTATACTTTGACGAAAACTAGGACCAATTATCCACGCCTCTGAGCTCCATTACCAGTAGTTTGCATGAAAACAGGTGATCAATTTCAAGTTGAACCCTCAAAATTGATCTAGTGCCAATTGAAAAGACAAGATACTAAACATTTTTGTGTGGTCGTCACTATTCTTTATTACTGAATTCTCTGTATAATTTTGTCCTTTTCTGAATAACACATTGCTTTGATAGAGAAATCGATGCAGTTATATATCAGTTAATGGTTCAGAATCCTGTTTTCTCCCGTTCCCCAACCCCACCAAGAAAACTGAGTGCTAGAGGAAAACAGTCAAGAAATAAATTATAAATAACCTCAGAGGTGCTTGATTGGTACTTCAGTATCAGGATTGGTGTCATGGGATTGGTCAAGTCAACCACAGATCTAATTTCTTTTAACCAAGATCATTAACAATCCACCTAAAACCGCCAAATTGATAGAGTAGTTAACCACAAAAAAAGAGCACCAAGAAAAGGATCGATGACCCATAGGAAAACAAATAACTCTAAGTTCGATGAAATGAGCCAGAAAGTCAATACCCACGTCGGAAGATTGTGGGATTTTCACTATGAGTTTAAGGTTCACGCGGCTTCGTTCTGTCACCCATTGATTGAACGTTGATTCTTTATGAGTCTCTTTAAATTGCTTTCGAGCCGATTTAGCCGGTAACTTCTGTCTGTTAATCTAATTTGTGTGTGTGCGTGTTTATTTCTACTTCTGGAAAAAAAACCAGAAAGTCAATAAATCTGCTTCCGTTTTCAATTTTGCTTTTCCTGGTTATGAGAAACCTAAAAGCAATTGCTCCTAACCTTTTCTTGTTTTTGCTGCATTTTCTAGAGTCATTCTTGATGTAAGGGGAGTGACTATATCCAAATAATATATCAAAAATAACTCTAAATATACATATTTATTCGGAATTTTTGATTTCGAATTATGAGAATTTGGTTCGAATTCGGTAATAGATTTTTTGAAATCGGAAATAGAAATCAGATTTTTCGATTTCAATTTCGTTTTATAATATATATATTAATATTTATTTATTTATATATAATATTTTTTATTTCAATTTTGTTTTATAATATGTATATTAATATATATATTAATGTACATATTTCAATTTGTATATTTCAATTATGTATATTATATTATATATATTATATTAATATTAATATGTATATTTCAATTATGTATATTAATATGTATATTATATATATTATATCAATTGAAATAAATATTATATATTTATATATAAATATAAATATTTTGTTTAAAATATATTTTTATATATTTATAAATATATTTATTTATATATATTTATATAAATTTATAAATATATTTATTTCAATTTTTTTATAATATGTATATTTCAATTATGTGTATTATATTATATATATAAATTATATTAATATTAATATGTATATTATATATATTATATCAATTGAAATATATGTATATTATATATTATGTGTATTTACATATATTTATATAAATATATAAATATATATATTTCAAATTTGTTTTATAATATGTATATTAATATATATTTATATATGTATATTAAATATATATTAATATACATATTATATTTACAAATTATATTTATATTATATATATAACTATATATTAATTTACATATTATAAAACAAAATTGAAATAAAAAAATATTATATATATAAATAAATAAATATAAATATATAGAAACAGAGCCAGTATATATTTAAAAAAATCCCAAAAAAATTATAAATTATAAAAATACTGATAAATATATTTTTAAAATACCTCTAAAAACAATCCAAAAAACATCTACAGTAAAAGTTTTTCATATACACAGTTACAATAAAGTTTTTAAAAAACACCTCAAAAAACAACTAATCCAAACAGAGTCTAAAGTGCCTCGTCAACTTTTGCCAACACCGATACCTCCACTTATAGAGTATACAATGTAAAAGGATAAAATAAGTTATAATAATATTATCATTATATAAAAAAAAGTACAAATCATCCTAAATTTTAATTCCTTCCAATCTTTTTTGTTTACTTTCCTTTTTTTTATTGGAGAAATTTGAAATTTGCAATAAATCTTATATTGCTTGCTTATTCATGATGGTTCTTGATTCCACCATCAAACTCTGTTCTTGATTCAAAATTTAATATTACTTGCCCTTTTTTTTCCTTGAATGTTTGTAATTTATAACCAATTTTTCCATGAGACAATTAGAAACTTTTCTTAAAAGTGTGTCCCAAAATCTATCAAATAGATAAATATACTACCCTCTTAACTAACATCGCGCCATATTTCAAAGGGATAATTGCAGAAACCTCCCCTGAGGTTGTTAACATTTGCACTGACCTCCCCTGTGGTTTGAAAAATTACACTGACCTCCCCTGAGGTTACTAATCCTTTGCAAATTTAGTCCAAACGATTAAAATATTATTTTAGGGAGTGAAATTAGAATTTTGTACCAGATTTGCCCTTTGTGCTACATGTCTAATGAATGATAAAGTACTATAAATCAATTAAAAATTAATAAACTTTAAGGAGTATAATTTATGGGCAAACATGCATTACTCATTTAAAATACTGGCTCTTTACGGGTATTTTATTTTCAAACATTTAATTTGTGATAAATATATCAATATTTGTAAGTAAAATTAAAAAAGTGTTACCGTAATATTCTTGCAAAAAGGAAATCGGTAGGTTATTTATTTAATATAAATTAAATATTTTTTAAACAAAGAAATGACCCATAAAGTATTAATTTTTTATGACTTTCATCCATTACATGAGTAAAGTATTCGTTCTTTATGTGCATTTTATTCATTTAATTTATGTTAAATATATAAATGTTTGTAACTAAAATTGGAAAAATATTATATTAATATTTTTACGGAAGTGAGGTTGGTAGGTTTTGTATTTAACAAAAATTAAATATTTGAAAGTAAATACAAATCTGTATTTGAGCGTAAATATTTGTATTAAATTAAATATTTGAAAGTGAAATACCCGTAAAGAACCGGTACTTTAAATAGTTACCGGCTCTTTATGGGCAAACACGCATTATTCATTTAAAGTACCGGCTTTTTACGGATATTTTACTTTCAAACATTTAATTTATGATAAATATATCAATGTTTGTAAGTAAAATTTAAAAAGTGTTACAGTAATATTCTTGCAAAAAGGAAATCGGTAGGTTATTTATTTAATATAAATTAAATATTTAAAAAAAAGAAATGGCCCATAAAGTATTAATTCTTTATGACTTTCATCTATTACATGAGTAAAATATTGGCTCTTTATGGATATTTTATTTTGAATCATTTAATATATGTTAAATACATAAATGTTTGTAACTAAAATTAAAAAAGTGTTATATTAATATTTTTACGGAAGAGAGATTGGTAGTTTTTGTATTTAACAAAAATTAAATATTTGAAAGTAAATACAAATCTGTATTTGAGCGTAAATATTTGTATTAAATTAAATGTTTGAAAGTAAAATACCCATAAAGAGCCGGTACTTTAAATAGGTAATGTGTATTTGCCTATAAACTATACTCCTTAAAGTTTATTAATTGTTAATT